CATGCAGGATCGTTGCATAGGTACATACTTGGCAAGGTAGTTTGCTTTCTGTAGCTGGAAGCATCGCCCCATCACCTGTACTGGCATTTCTCCCCTTGTTATCCATTCTAGCTTCCCTACCCCCTGCTCTGTCCCTCCCTTAGCACACCGCTCCCCCCCCCCCGCCCCCCGACCCCACCGACCCCAGTGTGTAATGCTCCCCTCCCTGTGTCCATGTGTATTCTTTTATGTTCTACCAGATCTGGCCTTCCTTTTTGGTTTTGCTTCATTTGTTTATTTATTTATTTGTTTAATCTTTTACAGCTTTATTGAGGTTGACATTCCTTTTTTGTTTTGCTTCAGTCATTTGTTTTATTCATGTGTTTAATCTCTTCCAGCTTTATTGAGGTTGGCTTTCCTTTTTTATGCTTTATTTCAGTTAATACGCATCATACATTTGTTTTTCAAGCCAGGAACTAAGAAGTCATCCATGACTTCTTGCTTACTTCTCAGTTAATTTTCATCCTATAGATTCTGAACTCCTCATTATGCTTCAAAACTGCTTATTCTTTGTTCTCACTGGCACTAATTAATATCAGGCCACTGTTATATGCCACATGGATTCTGCAATAGCGACAAAACTGGTTTTTCTGTCTCCCTTAAATCTATTCCCTACATTGCAGCCAGAATAATACTTCTCTAATGTGTTTCTCAATTTGTCGCTTTTTAAAACTCTTTAGTCTTGTTTACCTGGGCATATCCTGTACCCAGATGAGTGCTTTGCATATATTGATATTTGTGTTTGTAAATTATTGAGAATGTATATGCTGAATCAATGCCTAGCCCCCCCCCCCAAATTGGCTGGCTGCCAAGACTGATGGTACCACACATATACCAGAAATGTTTAAAAAGACTTAACTCACAAAGTGAGACTTTCTGGGGAGAACAAGGCAGTCACCCACACTGGTTCAGAATGGTTTGCGTGGAGGGAAGGGCGGGTGGCACTGATATTTGTCGTGGTTGGTGAATGGACTGGGTTGAAGGTTCCCACACGCAGGCTGGGTTTGTGTGGTTTCAAATTCCCCAGTGGTTTCAGGACTTAACCCAACATGAAATTTTACTTATTATAAAAGCCCTATGTTCTTTTTATATAAAGGAAAATTTAATACAGAAAAGTAAAAAGAATATAAAAAACATAAATATGTGCTTATATTCTCACATACTGGAAAATTATAATTGTCCTTCAGTTTATCACCTTGCTTGGTAAATATTCTTCCCTTTATTTTGAACCTATGTGTGTCTTTGTACGTGAGATCGATTTCTTGAAGACAGCATATTGATGGGTCTTGGCTAATTATTTAGCTTGCCATTCTGTGTCTTTTAACTGGGGCATTTAGCCTATTTACATTTAAGGTTAGTATTGTTGTGTGTAAATTTGATCCTGTTATCATGATGCTAACTGGTTATTTTGCAGACTTGTTTATGTAGTTGCTTCATAGTGTCACTGGTCTGTGTACTTCAGTGTGCTTTTGTAGTAGCTGGTAATGGTTTTTTCTTTTCCATATTTAGTGCTTTCAGGAGCTCTTGCAAGGTAGACTGGCGATGGGTGATGATGTATTCCATCAGCATTTGTTTCCTGAAAAGGATCTTATTTCTGTTTTGCTTATGAAGCTTAGTTTGACTGGATATGAAATTCTGGATTGGAAATTCTTCAAGAATGTTGAATTTTGTGCCCCAGTCTCTTATGACTTGTAGGGTTTCCACTGAGAAGTCTGCTATTAGTCTGATTGGCTTTCCTTCGTAGGTGACCTGGCTTTTCTCTCTGGCTGCCCTTAACTTTTTGTTTTGTTTTGTTTTGTTTTCATTTTAATTTTGAGAATCTGATGATTATATGTCTTGGGGTTGATCTTCTCATGGAATATCTTATTGGGGTTATCTGCAGTTTCTGAATTTGAATGTTGGCCTGTCTTGCTACATGGGGGAAGTTCTTCGGGATGATATCTTGAAGTATGTTTTCCAAGTTGATTCCATTCTTCCTATCTTTCAGGTATCCGAATCAGTTATAGGTTTGGTTTCTACATAATTCCATAGTTCTTGGAGATTTTGTTTATTTATTTTCATTCTTTTTTCTCTACAGTTATTTTGTTTTTGTAAGATAGTCTTCAGGCTCTGAGATTCTTTCCTTTGCTTGGTCTGTTTTGCTGCTGATACTTGCGATTATATTGGGAAGTTCTCATGTTGCCTTTCAGTTCCATCAGGTCATTTAAGTTCCCCTCTCAACTGACTATTTTGACTGTCAGCTCCTGTATTGTTTGATCATTCTTAGCTTCTTTGCATTGGGCTACAACATGCTCCTTTAGCTCAGCGAAGTTTGTTATTTACCCACCTTCTGAAGCCTACTCTGTAGTTCAGCCATTCTCATCCCCAGCCCAGTTCTGTACCTTTGCTAGAGAGATGTTACAGTCATTTGCAGGAGAGGAGGCACTCTGGCTTTTTGAGTTTTCAGTGTTTTTGTGTTGTTTCTTTCTCATATTTGTGGGCTTATCTACCTTTGATCTTTGAGGTTGCTGACTTTTGAATGGAGTTTTTGTGGGATCTTCTTTGTTGATTTTGCTTGTTGTGGTTTTCTGTGTTTTTCTTTTACCAGTCAGGTTACTCTTCTAAAGAGCTGCTGGATTTGCTGGGGTTCCTCTTTAGACCCTAGTTGCCTCAGTTTTTTTTTCTCACCTAGACGTATCACCAGCGAAGCCTGTTAAACAGTAAAGATAGCAGCCTGATTCTTCCTCTGGAAACTCCATCACAGGGGTTACTGACCTGTTGGCAGCCCAGCTGCATCTGTAGGAGGTGCTGGAGGCACCTATTGGGTGGTCTCATCCCTTCAGAAAAAATGGGATCAGGGATTTACTTAAACAAACAGTCTGGGCCAGGCGCGGTGGCTCACACCTGTAATCTCAGTGCTTTGGGAGGCTGAGGCAGGTGGATCATGAGGTCAAGAGATCAAGACCATCCTGGCCAACATGGTAAAACCCCATTTCTACTAAAAATACAAAAATTAGCCGGTCGTGGTGGTATGAGTCTATAGTCCCAGCTACTTGAGATGCTGAGGCAGGAGAATCGCTTAAACTCGGGAGATGGAGGGGAGGTTGCAGTGAGCCGAGGTGGTGCCACTGCACTCCAGCCGGAGTGACAATGCAAGACTCCGTCTGGAAAAAAAAAAAGGAGCAGTCTGGCTGCCTTTTGGTAGTACAGATGTGCTGCGTTGTAGGGGACCCTTCCTTGTCCGGACTGTCTGGACTGTCCCAAGCCAGCAGACTGATCTACTGAGTTGACCAAATGGCAGAGATGGTGGCTGCCTCTCCTCCTGGGAACTCAGCCCTTCTCAGGCAGACTCCAGCCTGTCACTGCAGGCTGGCTGGAATTCCAAGTCAGTGGGTCTTAACTTGTGAGGTGCCATGGAAGTGGGGCCTGAAGAACAACACTGCTTGGATCCTTGGATTCAGCCTTGCTCCTAGTGGTATGTAGGGACAAATCTGCCTTGCCAGGAATCCTGGGGCTGGAACATACAAAACTCCTGTATCTCTGTGTGTGCCCAAGTTGCTGCTCTACCTGGACACCACACAGCTCTCTGTTTGGTGACTAGGGCTTATGAGAGGATCTCCTGATCTGGTTGCAAAGACTGTGGGAAAACCGTGGTTTCCCCAGGTTGGATTGCGCAATCACTCATCACTTCCCTTGGCTGCTGGTGGGGGTTCCTTTGGCCCTGCATTGCTCCTGGTGGACTGTTGTCCCACCTTACCTTTCTTCATTCTCTATGGGTCAAGCTGTTTGTCTAGTCAGTTCCAATACAAGAACCTGGATATTTCAGTTGAAGGTGCTGAATTCACTCGCTGCTTACAGCCCTCTCTCTGAGTGCTGTAGACCATCACTACTTTTAATTGGCCATCTTGGCACTCTCTCCTGTTTGCCTTAAATGTGTACAGTTTAACTGCATGTCAAATATTCTGCAATAGAGTTTTTAAAATGAAAAAAAAAAAATTTCCAGAGATTTTGTTTTTCAAATAATTTTTCTAGTTACTTTTAGTCTTTGGAGGGCCCAATAAAAAATTGGACATATTTGAATGGAACACCTGACATAGGAAACAGTTTTAATTTTATTCATATTGTCTGAATAAAATAGATATTTCCCTTCCATAAGAGTTTTTCATGACCATGATGTCTTAGTCTTCTAAAAGTTTGTTGGACTTTTGATCTTTTTACTTATATATACTAATGAAAGGTCTTAGGATATTTGGATCCATTCTTGGATTGTAAGCACTCACCAGTGGGCTGTAGGTCAAACTGAGTTTATTACGTTAACCTTATTGTTTATTCAGTTCTTTAGGCTTCAGAACAGCAGTCTTTGAAAATAAAATGCTACTTTTCTAAGAAGAGATAATAGCTAGTAAGATTGTAAATAAAACCCAGCAGGGACTGCATATACTTGTTAGAAAAGTCTAGTTCTATCATAGAAAAAGAATAAATTGAATCAAGCCAAGGAGGTGACAGGGTGCTAATGGTAGTAGGAGGTAGGTTTGGCACAAGAAAGTAAATGGACTAACCACATTGTTAAAGACTTGTTTTATTATTTATGCAAGTGGTCCAATCTCTAGAAATAATGAAACACAGCCTCTTACCTCTTATACCAGTTATGAATAAATTTTGGGCAATTCTTTACTATTTTTTATTCTTCAGTATCTTATCAGGGAAGGTGTTAAAAACATGGGCTTAAAGTTTTTAAATATGAAAATAAAAATCTGTTGGAGAGGAATACTAGGAAGGAGGAAGACTAGGAGAAGGATGTTATAAATAGCTTACTTAAACTAGTTGAATCTAGTTTTGTTTTAAAAAATGTAATTATTTTATTCTTACAGTGCAGACAGTGAGTAAATTCAGGATATCATAATAGTGATATTTTAAAAAATAACTGTTATATATATTCTTAGAGCTAAGTTCTAGTATATTTTTTACTGCTTTGTTCACAGGATATTTTGAATAATCTTGAATCATGTGACCTTGAGGATGATGACCTTATGCTCGATGTGGATCTACCTGAGGATGCACCTCTTGAAAATGGTAAGTTGAGATTATTGAACCTTCAGAGGTATATACTTAAGATACTTGACTGTAGCCAATTTGATATTTGTTACTTGCAGACTTCTTAATCTTAATGGAGACTTTCAGACTGAGAATCAGTCTAAAGTGATGTAAAATAGGTTCGTTCGAAAACTAACTTAAAACTTGATTTTGTAAGTCTTAGATACAATTCTGTATGATCCAATAACATTGTGTACCATAAAGTCAGTTGCAGATTAAGAGTTTTCTTTTTTTCTGTGTACAAATACCCAGTTTTTACTCCCTTTATCTCATTTTGATTGTAAGAAGAAATGTATTTCAGAAACATACCATCTGACTTGTGAAACACTATAATATCTTAATCGGATATTTTATAAAGATTCTGGGAAAGTGATAACCTTCTGAATGAATCATTCTGTACATTTTACTCGGAATTCTAGTCTGTCTTTCTCTCTAGATCCCAGTAACTGCTGGGGTAAGACTTTAGATAATCCATATGGGAGACAGACCTTAGGTTCTCTTGCCTCCAATGACATAGCACTTGTAGGATTTTCTGTCTTAAGGACTGTTGTAGAACCAGAAACCAGCATAAAAAAGCCCTGGGGGCAAAGGTTGAAATAGGGATGCTTCTAGGAAGAGGGATAGCTTAAGAAATAAAAGAATTTCCTGTCAGTCAGAATTTGGCTGGTCTCACAAGCCTCCATGGGCTAGAGATAAAGTAAAAAGGGTGAGTGGGGTCCTTTTATCCATGGTGCTAGAAAAATGCAAGGAATATTTCAGAGAGGGGAGGTGTTTGTCTTAGTGCTTCACTGGGGTGTTAGTAGCCTGCTTTGCTACATTACTACCAGCTTATATTTGTCATATTGGTATGGCTTTTAGTTTTCCTGCCAGAATGTGATATAGCATTCTCAAAATCTCAGTGGCTTTCAAAATAAGCATTTATTTTTCTCATTCATGGATCTAAGGATTAGCTGGGAAGCTCAGGCCATGTGACTGGCTTTAGGTCTATTCCATGTTTCTTCATTTTGAGATCAGAAATACTTTGGGGTAGGTTGTTCTCATGACAGCAGAAATGCAACAGGTGAGCAGAAACATGCATATTTATGTCTCTTCAAGTCTTGGCTAAGAACCAGCACATTTTTTTTTAGAGTAACAAAAAATATTTTATCAAAACATAAGGTTTACAGAAGTTTCCAGATAAGCCATTCAAAATGGTCACAAACGTTTTCGAAGTGGGGAATGTACACTTGACAGCAAAGTCACAGTGTTATTAGTGAGGGCTCTGATGTTTGTTTAATGTTCCCGTTTTACTTCAGTCAACCTTGTCCATCTACATTGTTTAAATAAAATTAGGCTTAGCTAGAGAACATATTGTAAAGATCTGCTTAGCTGCTGTTAACCAGTGCAATTAGATCACCAAAAAACAGGAGAAAGGAGCACATAAAATTAAACTACCTCCTTCCTTAAAAAGGAAAAGAAAAGAAAGACATTCACACCCCTGCAGCTAACCTGACAGCTACCTTCATTCACAGAGGACACTTATTTCTAAGCACATTCTGTTGGTCATAGCAGGTAACATGGCCAAACCTAACACCTTTGGGACTGGGAAGTATACTGTTCATGATGAAGGCTCTGCACATGATAGAGGACATTGCATATATAATTCTGTAAGGAGAAAATGAAGAGTTGAAGACAGTATCTACTCTCTCACAGAGATAGAGAATGTTTCACCTTTTTATAGTTCTGCTGTTACTTAGGATGCTCTAGTAACAGCTGAGTTCTAGTGCTGAAAAAGAAAAAAAAAAAAAAAACCCCAGCCAACACTCAGGAAGAACAAGGAAAGTGACAGAACCCTGAGGATTAGAGTAGTCCGAGGAAATAATCACTTAGATTCAATTGCAGCACAATTCTTTCTGGAGTTAAAAGACAAGATTTCCCAACAGAATAGTTTACTCAGTAAATGACAGAAAGCATCACTGCTGTCGAATCTGAAAGATTGACTTGGAAGATCAAGTAGAAAAACATTGTGGAACGCAGAGGAAAAACATCAACCATTGGAAAGTTATAGGGGAAAAATAATGAGACTTGATGATCTGGGAAATTTAATGGGAATTTTTAGGGCTGTTAGTGAGGAGTGAGGAATTTACTTCTTGGAATAAATCACATCCTAGATAATACATTTTACTTTGACAGAATTATCATGATTTCTCTTGGAAACTTTATGCCCTTTCTGAATGGAAGTAGAGAGAAAGCATCTTAGAACTTAGAACTTGCCTTATCTTTAGCAGACAACAGAAAGTTACCCAAGTATTAGATAAAAGTAGAATCATAGGGAAATTTAGTCTTTGGGGTCTTGAATGGGGACTTGTGAAAAGTAGGAGGAAACTTTTGGGAACATCCCACATAAGCAGTACTTTAGATTTTTCTAGGAGAAGGCAAACAACTATTGGCTATTTTGAGTAAAGGAACATTAAAGAAAGCATGTAAAAACACGGATCTAAAACATGTAGCCTTTGTAGGCACCAAAGATAAAATAGTATTTAGGTTTAGTACCATAGGAAAGGGGGAAATTATTCTTTTTATGGCTCATAGGTCCCGAATGACAGTACACACCCATTTCACTGTTTTTGGCCGGTAGGATGAGAATGTTACAGGGACTGGTAGAGGTTTAGGGAGTCTTATAATATGCTTTCTACTACAGGTTTTAGTTCTGTATAGCTTCTGGTTGTTGATGATATTATGCAGGTTTGGTAAAGGTTTAGATTGGGGCCAGTTGCAGTGGCTCACTCTTGTAATCCCAGGGCTATGGGAGGCTTAGGTGGGCAGATCGTGAGGTGAGGAGATCGAGACTCTCCTCACTAACACGGTGAAACCCCATCTCTACTAAAAATCCAAAAAATTAGCCAGGCATGGTGGCACGTACCTGTAGTCTCAGCTACTCAGGAGGCTGAGGCAGGAGAATAGCTTGAACCTGGGAGGCAGAGGTTGTGCTGAGCTGAGCTCATGCTATTGCACTCCAGCCTGGGTGACAGAGCGAGACACTGTCTCAAGAAAAAAAAAGTTTGATCATTTTGAACCATAATGAATGGGTTCACTGCCACTAATTTTACCAGTATCAGTGGAGCTCAGTGGAGATTTTGCCCACAGAACAGTGGCACCTCACTGAAATCTTTAAGGATACAAATTTGATGTGACCTCATGAATGCCACTTGTCAACTTGTCATATCATGGAAGAAGCCATGATGAGAATATTTCTCTGGTGAATGCATTTGTACAGTTAATCTTTCCCTATTAAGTGGCATATGTAGTAGCACAAAGGAGGAGCGAATATTGGTCAAATGTTTTCTGGGTATTTGTGGGCTAGTATTTGGAGGCTGTTCTCGGAGGAAAGTTTTTTTGAGATTGTATTAGTCTGTTCTCATGCTGCTATAAACAACTGCCCGAGACTGGGTAATTTATATAGGAAAGAGGTTTAGTTGACCTCCTGCATGGCTGGGGAGGCCTCAGGAAACTTAGAATCATGATGGAAAGGGAAGCAAACACATCCCTTACATGGCAGGAGAGAAGTGCTGAGCAAAGGGGGAAAAGCCCCTTATAAAACGATCAGATCTCGTGAGAATTCACTATCACGAGAACATCATGGGGGAAATCACCCCTGTGATTCAGTTATCTCCACATGGTTCTGCCCTTGACACATGGGGATTATTGCAATTCAAGGTGAGATTTGGGCTGGCACGCAAAGCCAAACCATATCAGAGATCTAAGGACAGAAAAGTATGATACATTTTCTCACCCATCAAAAGGGTCATGGCTGACATGCCTATAACAAAAGACAGGTTAACAAAAAAGTATAACACATTTATTTAATCGAAATTTTATGTGACATGAGATTCTTAGGAAGTGAAGACCTAAAGACCTAGGGAAAACTCTAATTTTATTCTTAAGCTTGATAAAGAATGGACAGCTGTATAGAAATATGATTGGACAAAAGGGTTATGAACTAATAGTGATAAACTGAGGGTGGGGAGGGTGACCCAACAAGGACTGTCTGTTTAGATTCTTCTTGGATTCTCTGTAGTACTTCTGCTTCCTAGGTATAGCGCAAAACCCCTCTGAAATGAGAGTCTTTAAGGAAGAAAGGAAAAGAGAGTGAGTGACCTTTCAGGGTTTTAGGGCTTCCTTTGAGGTAGAGGATTTTTAGTTTCTATGACCTGCCTTAGGAGAGGAATTCTGGTTTCCGTGACTCACTTTGAAGAAGGAAGAAGTGAGGATAGGAAGATCAGAAGGATCTTGCCCCTGAGGCATTTCCAATTTTCCTCAGTTCAAAGTACTCATCTTGCCAAAGTGCCAGGCTTTGTAGTATCATATTCTGATCCCCAACGGAGAAATCCACACCTGAGTGTTTTGGTGACCCTGAGCATAAGGTAACAGTTGTGGTTATAGGTTGGTATTTTAGTGCTTGTATCAATTAAACATTTGTAAGGTTGTCCTTTAATACCTAGAGAAATTTATTTTTGACCTTAAGGGTGAAACAGAAAATTTGGTGCTTGACTTCTTCTTCAGAATGCTTTTGTTAATAACACGTTTTTCTTCTTTGTTTGTTATCTCATGCTAAAGACTTCCTTCAGAAGGCTTATGTTTTTCTCTAGCAGGGGTTCTCCACTCAGTTAAGGCCCAGTCTCGCCTGCATCTGCATCTGGTTGTGATCAGCACATTGGGTTTTTGAATTGGGATGCCTTCAGGTTTACTAGTTCTTTCTTTAGTTTGCCACAAACCACATCATTCCCTATGGTATAACACACATTCAGAGGGACTTATTTTCTTTTTTAGTTGTATTTGTTCTGTTTTAAATTTTATCAGTCTCTTGGTCAGGGATGGTGACTCACTCCTGTAATCCCAGCACTTTGGGAGACCAAGGCATTTGGATCACTTGAGGTCAGAAGTTCAAGATCAACCTGGCCAACATGGTGAAACCCCTTCTCTACTAAAAAACAAATAATTAGCTGTGGTGATGCGCACCTGTAATCTCAGTTACTGAGGAGGCTGAGGCAGGAGAATAGCTTGAACCAGGGAGGTGGAGGCTGCAATGAGCCGAGATCATGCTGCTGCACTTCAGTTTGGGCAACAGAGCTAGACTTCATCTCACCAAAAAAAAAAAAAAAAAAAGTCTCTGACAACTGGATTTATCTCCGTCTTGTAATTTTGTTTGTTTTCTCTTTTCTTCTCTATATTATTTCTTTTGTTTTGTCAGGGAACCGTTAATCTTTTCTAAGGAACCCTCAGCAGTCTTATTCCACATTATCTTCTTAGCAGCATTTTACAATATATAAACGCGTGATTGACGTATCCCTTGAGAAGTTAAACATGGCGCTTCCTGCAGAATCTTGGAGCAGTCATTTCTCTAGAGTTTACACCCACTTTGTCTCAGTTTGAACATTAGTCTTTTTTGGTTATGGTGAATGTTTGCTTCCAATGCTTACTTGCCATTATGCTTACGTTTGAGTTCAGGTTTCAATAAAGATTCCTCAATTTGGAGTCTATATGTGCAACCTACATTAGCAAATACGAAAATACCACATCAGTTTCTACATTGTAATTGCTCACAATATTTAACACATCTCCTGCCCTGTTCTCCCAGTTTGCTTGCTTCTTCTTCTATGTACACTTCTGTGTTGATACCATTCAAATAACATATCAAGTGGTGTTTTTTTTTTGTTTTTTTTTTTTTGTTTTTTTTTTATGGCGTTTCTTGCTTTGGAGGGAGTAGAATTTTTCTTGCCTGAATTGAGGAAATATATGAATTCAGAATAGTTAAATGTAGATTATCTCTTGATCTGTAGAGTTACTCAAACTAAAGTAACATTTTAATATCATATAGAAATACTTAACTGGGCCTTAACTGAATCTCTGAATATAATACAAATATGAATTTATATATGATCGCTGAGGTAGAAGAATCCCTTGAGGCCAGGAGTTTGAGACCAGCCAGCCTGGGCAGCATAGCAAGACCCTATCTATTAAAACAACAACAACAAAATAAAAATTTAAAAAATAGGCTTGGCATGGTGGCTTGTGCCTATAGTCCTAGTTGCTCTGGAGGTTGAGGTTGAAGGTTTGCTTGAGCTCAGGAGTTTGGGGTTACAGTAAGCTATGATTATGCCACTAGACTCTAGCCTCGGTGACAGATTGAGACCCTGTCTCAAACAAAAAGAAAAACCTTCTTGAGATGATTATTTTAAATTTTCTTTTGCAATCTCGTTTTCTACTTCTGACCTTTTTTGACATAATGATCACCATGCCTTTGTCAAGTTTTCTGTAAGTGAACTTAAAAAAAAAAACATGTAAGTTCAAACATAAGTCTTCTTTTAAAACATGAAAACAATTTTTCACACTATTAAATGTGTATTTCTTCTTCCTCAAGGTGACTAATGAATTTAAACAAAATTTCATTGTCTTTTTGAAAATTTATTTGAATTGTTATACGTTTAGAGAAAATACATTAAAATGAATTCAGTATATATGAGAACGGAACAGCTATACTTTTTAAACTGCATCATCCTTTTTTGGAATGCCAAAGTTTGTTTTCATCCAGTATACTGTAATGAAACACTCATCATGTTTCAAATTCAAGTTTTTGGGTCAGTGAAACAGTAATTTAAATAAGCGAGTTTTTGTTTTGTTTTGTTTTAGTGGGGATTATGTTGATTGTATAGCTCTTTGTTACAAGGAATTCTGAACATGCAGGACTTGAACTTTCTCATGTAGTAATTCTCAGACTAGAGAATCTTTCCTGTTCTGTGGCTTGGGTTAGTGTTTAGCAGTATTTTTAGTAACCGTCTTAAGTCAGTAGCTATGTAAGCACTGAGTGAAGATGGAGTCACAGGGCAAACTGGGCTTGCTTCCCACAGGGAGGGCTGGGAATTGAGCAGGAAGGAAGGCCTGTTCAGCAGTGCCTTGTGTGCAACTATGTCTGAGTAGGCAGCGGTAACATAATGTCTCCCTTGTGCAAAGTAACTCTCTTAGTGAGTGCTCAGATATGTGAGGAAAAAGTATTTGGGTAAGTGAAGAAGCTTGGGATGTTTCAGAAGAATTCTTTTCATGTTTTTGTGGTATTTGGGTTTAAGGGAGTGTACTGTTTGTTACTGCAAAGTACTGGCTTTGTTTTCAGTGGCATTTTAGACTTTTTGAACAAGCTCTTACTGCAGGCAGATTGAAGCATCTTACTTTCTGAAAATGTGGGCTTAATTTTAAAAGTGTGGTTTGTTTATGATGAAAAGTTAATTTGTGCTTCTTGAAATCAGTGAAAATTAATTGTAGCAGCCTTTTGTAGAATGAGTTCTCTTAAAAAACTGCTGTTTCCTGTCATTTTCTTTCTGAAATTAGAGCCAATTTGTGATATGATCAAAACTACCTAAAACTGATTATGAGTGTTTAAAATGTATAATGTTGATTTCAAGGATAATTTGCCTGTTTTAAAACAGTGTGGCAGTTAATGGTTTATGTGACTGTGATATAAAAGTATTTTAATTTATTTTGAATAATATTAAGTTCAGTTTTCACCAGAAGAACTGATTATGCTTTTAGAAATCTTGATATTGTGATTCACATAAATGACTGGTATTTTTAGAATATTATTTTTATATTTTCAGCAGCATTTAATTACCAAGCTGTAAGTAGTTAACTTTTATGGAGTGTGCACATGTTTATAGTCTTTTTGCTTTTGAATCTGTCTAGTGGAGTGTGACAATATGAACCGCTTTGACCGACCAGACAGAAATGTTCGGCAGCCTCAGGAAGGATTTTGGAAAAGGCCACCCCAGAGGTGGAGTGGACAGGAGCATTACCACCTCAGCCACCCTGACCACTATCATCACCATGGAAAAAGTGACTTGAGCAGGTGAGTACTGTTCTAACTTAGATTTCATTTGCTGTCCTCTGATTTTGAGTTATAATTCTCCCTTTCCCACAACCTTCCAAAAACCTGTTTTTGTCTGGTTTGTTTTTAGAGGCACCAAAAAGCACTTCGGATTTTATGTGGTCTAATTTGTTCTTTGTGGCCCAAATGTTTTTTCATTAGTTTTATCATAAATATAAATATTCTATTTATATCTGCTTTTTTGGACTTCAAGTTATGGTATGATTTTCTAGCTCTCATTTGGAAATGATTAAATGTTAACTTTGTTAAAGTTTATTATTTTTCTAAATAATATTTAGAATTAGTGCCAAGTGGTTGGTCTTCTTTTGCTCATGTAGTAAGTTAAAATTTTAAAAATCCACAAGTACCATTAAAAACAGAAGAAGGTACTGTTTAGTGCTGAAGGTACTGTTTAGTCTTTTCCAAAGTAGAGGGTAGTCTTTAATTTGGTTAGATCTTATTTGTAACGAAGCTCAATAGTCATTCAAACCTGGGATCAAAACCTGACCTGGCACAGATTAGCTTTGCAATCTTAGATAACTTTTTAAAGCCATCTCTACTTCACTTTACCGTCTTTAAAACATAATTAATAATATCTTTCTCTCAGTGTTTGAGAATCAAGGATAAAAGTGCCTAGAGTAGTGTCTAGTTTACAGTAGGCACTCTATGGAAGTTATTAATTTTTCCTTTTCACTTTCTTACCCCTTTCCACAGGGATTTGAGGTCATTTTGGAGCACATTTACAATACAAATAGTACAACTAGTATAAAAATAATGGAAGAAAAACATGCTGTCATATATTTTGTAAAACGAGAGCAAAAAAATTGATTCTAAGATTCTTTGCAGTAAAAGCAAAGAATAAAATTCAATTTAGTGTGACATTCACAGTATGCATAAGATAAAGGATGTATTTTTTTCCTGAAATAATTTGTCAGAACAGTTAAGCAACGTTTAAAAAAAACTGTGCTCCTTGGATGTCAACAGTTGTAGTAAAAGAGGTTCCCCAGTCAAATGAGTATGAGAATGAATAGATATAAACATTTTTTAGACGGTGGACTCCACTGTGCTTTTATATTATAATACTGTGATTTTGCAAAAGGTGGTAAAAAGTGTAATATGTAGCCATTTTCCAAAACGTATGATCACAAATTCCTTCTACTTAGTGTCTTTTAAGGGACTATGGTATGGATAATCCACATGAGTGATTCTTACTGAGGAGAGAAAAATGCGCAGCATTCTTAGGGGTTGCTAATTTGACTGACTTAGCACAGAACTTCCCAACAATTGGACTGAGGTACACTGGTTGATAATTTTATTGAAACCCTCAAGCTTTGGGGTGTTGGTGCTGAGTTTCAGACACCTAGATCCACTCGAGCAAGTTTTGGGATGGGTGGTACCAAAAGAAACCTCCTCCAATATGAGCCTTACCCCTTACCTTAAAACTATTAATTTATCTCTGTGCCTTAATATTAAAAAGGTTTGAGTGTACTAGCCCCAGGGCCTTTCCAGTATTGTATGTGCAAAAGTCCTTTTCCCATTTTAAGACTTCCTGAATGTTGCCTCGCTTTCTTCAGTCTCTTTAACTACCATTATTAATGTCATTAGTTAGGATCATGTCCTATTCATAACCCAGGGGTGTTGGAAAGACTAGTGGTTGAGAACTAATACAACCTCTCATGTTCTCATCATAATACTGCTCTGTCTTTTTACCTGGCCTAATCTTTTACTCCTCTTTTATGCCCAGACCTTTTTTTCCTTCTACACCTGTTGATATACTATCTGGAATTCTCTCATATCCTAGCAAACTCACATTCTTCATCTCTTCAGCTACATTCTCCTAATCCTAAATGAAACCTAGGTCTTTCCCAAATGTACTCCTTTCCCAGTAACATTTTTACACCAAAGATTCTTGTTTTCCAATCACCCAATACTTTCCTGTTTAGAGATGGGGTTTTTGTCCTCATTCCTTATTGTCACTTTTAAAGGAAGTAGTATTAAGTCCTTTTTTTTTTTTGAGACTTAGGGCATTTGGCTGTATCAACTCCTGTTTACTGGTTCCTACCTGGAGCTTACAAAAGGCTTGGTCCTTGGCCCACTTTCCCTCTTTATTAAAAGCTTTGCTGCATAGTGGCAGTGGCTGCAGCGTTCATGTACCTGAATCATTTAATCCTCTGTTTGCTTAGTCCTGTAGGACAGTAGTCTCCAACCTTTTTGGCACCAAGAATCAGTCTCCTGGAAGACAAATTGTCCACAGGAGTCCGGGGGGCTGGTTTTGGGACTGGAATGAAACCTCAAATCATCAGGCATTAGTTAGATTCTCATAAGGGGTGTGCAACCTAGGTCCCTTGCATGCACAGCTTGTAATATGGTTTGTGCTCCTGTGAGAATCTTAAGGCTACAGCTGATGTGACAGGAGGTGGAGCTCAGGTGGTAATGCTTGCACGCAGGACCACTGCTCACCTCCTGCTGTGTGGCCTGGTTTCTAACAGACCATGGACTGGTACTGGTCCCTGTCTAGGGGGTTGGGGACCCCTGCTATGGGATTTTTCTATATACAAGATATGTTATCTGCGAATAGTTTAACTTTTTCCTTTCCATTTTGGATTAATTTCTTTTTATCTTTTGTGTAATTGCCATGGCTACAACCTTGTGAAAGCCAATAACTGTGTCTTGTTTCTGATAATAGGGGAAAATAAATATTTCAAATATTTTACTGTTAAGTGTGATATTAGCTGTGGATTTTTAAAGAGACTTTTTATCAGTTTTAAGTTCCCTTTCATTCATGAATAGTTGAGTGTTTTTATCATGATAGGATGTTGGATTTTGTCAGTTACTTTTTCTGTGTCTATGGACGTAATCTTTTCTTCCCCCTTCATTCTACTAATGTGGAGTAATACATTGGCTGCCTTTCAGATGTTGACCCAACCTTGCATTTCTTGGCTAAATTCCAGTTGGTCATGCTATACAATTCTTTAGTATGCTGCGTGATTCAGTTTGCTAGTATTTTGTTGAAGATTTTTGTGCATATATATTTATTGAAGATGTGTGTGTGTGTGTGTGTGTGTGTGTGTGTGTGTGTGTAGATTTTGTGTATATCCATTCTCAAGAAATATTGGTCTGTAGTCAGTTTTTTTTTTTTTCTTTCTTTCTTGAAGTATCCTTGTCTTATTTTGATATCAGGACCACACAGATTGAATTAGGAAGTATTCCTTTCACTTCTACTTTTGGGAAGAGTTTGTGAAGGATTTTTGTGAATTCTTTGAATGTTTTCTAGAATTCACCATTGAAGTTATTTGGGCCTGGGCTTTTCTTTGTGGCAGTTTTTTTGATTGCTAATTTAATTTTTTTTAGAGATTCTATAGATGTCTTTTTTAACTTGTTGATTTATAATGTTGTTTAAATCTTGTTCTTTCTCATATATCTTTGTCCAGTTGTTTTGTCCGTATTGAAAGTGAGGTGTTCAAGTCTCCTAATTCACTATATCTTGTAGGGAAGGTGTAATAGCAATAAACTCTCTGTTTTTGTTTATCTGGGAATGTCTTAATTTCTCTTTTATTTTGAAGGATAGTTTTGCCAGATGTAGACTTCTTGACTGACAGTGTTCCTTATAATCTTTTAACCCCCATGCTTTCTGATGAGAAATCAGCTGTTAATGTTATTGAGCATGTCTTCCACATGAATCCCTCCCATTTTTTCGGCATTAAAGATTTTCACTTTTTGTTTGGCTTTCAACAGTTAAATTATAATGCACCTCTCTTTTAGTTTATCATATACGTAGTTTGTTGAGCCTCCTAGATATGCAGACCAATGTTTTTCATCAAATTTGGGACACGTTTGGTCATTAAGTTCTTTCTACCTCTCCGCACTTTGCTCTAGCCACTTAACTAAGGGAATATATGAGCATCATTCCTTGCTTGTCTTAAAAAAATTGAAAAAGATAAATACAAATAATGTGAAAACTACTTAAATCAGATTTCTCCCTGGCCAGGATTTGTTTTTTTTTTTTTTTTTTTGTGGTGGTTTACTGACTTTTCTAGACAGATTCTATAAAAAGTCTGTATTTAAAAAAAAATTGAAGTCTTTGCTTGGTTTGGTTAAGTGGTCAGCTCATGGTTGGATGGAGATTTCATTGAATTTCTTGAACTAGTAAGTCTCTCAGCCTTCACCAGGGGGCTCTGTGTGTTTGCCTAGTAGTTTGCAGCCTAGGCACACCTGCAGTCCCTGTAAGTAGTTTGCAGCTCTACCTTAGCCTTCACTTCCTGCTTGTTCCAAATTTCAAAGTTAACCAAAGGTGGAAGGTTAGGGAATTCTCTGGTATTTCCTTGGCATGTACACAGCCTACACATGCAGATGTTCTTTTCTATTCCCAAGACTGTATTGGAGCTTTCAAAGCCTCTTATGGACATTGCTTTCCTCAGGTTTTCATTTTATGATTTCTGTTCAGCTCCTTGTTTGTCCCAATTGATATTGCCATTTCAGGCTGCTGAGATTTTAAGCAGTGCATTAGGGATAAGGAAATTACTGAACAAGCTTTGAATCAGCTCAAATCAACTTCTGAGAATGGGCTATTTCTAGGGAGGCTCCCAGACAGATCAAATCATAGCAGTTCTTTGTGAGTGGTGCTTTTTGGAGAGTTCTAAACCCGTTTTGTCCCCCAATCCCTGGTAACTGCTGGATTTCACAGCTGCCATACTTGTTGTAAGGCTTTTGGTTCTCAAGTTACTGCAAAGCTAAGGAGATGGGCATGACTACTGGATAAATTAAAATGCCTTGAGCTTGCTGTTCTCTCTGAGATTGAGCAGTGTTTATTGATTAAATGCTCCTTAATTGTTGGAAGCATTTGACTGATTTTTAGAGTTTTGAAAAAGTTGAGTTTGACAGATTTGCCAGTGTTCTCAGTGCTTTAATGGAAGAATGGAGTTTTAGAAATCTCTGTCATTCTGGAAATGTTTCTCTTCATTTGTCATGCTTTATTTTTCTTT